TCATATATATATATATATATATATATATATATATATATCCCACGTTGACTGCCCTCTCTCTCTATTTCTAAAACAATAACATTCGGATCCCCATCAAAAATACAGAAAACATGACTAGAAATCATTAAAGCAGATAATCCTCTCACACATACATACAGATGTGACGTTATCTCCTACATCGCTGCCACCTGCTTTGATGTATTAGTGTAATTAGGCAGAACTGTGTCTGACACACAGATGCCGTATCGATCGGGTCAGGAACGGACACCGCTGAGGAGATCTGCTCTTACAGTCAATGTCTACAGAGCATTACACGTGTGTTTGGTCACTTCTTTGTGAGAAATCACATGATGTGCTGTCTGTGTGTTTGTAACTACAGTACGTTTGATTTCACCAAATTCAATCTGCAGCCTTGGGAGGAAGGTTGTCTTATTGAGGAAGTATTGATGTATGATGAAGTTTCACCTCTGGAATCTGTGTGTTCGTGACTGATATTCCTTTCACAGCTGCGTCTGTTGCGCCAACCGCCAAAATATGGCTCGGAGGTACAGGCCACGTCTGGTGGCGCATTGCGAGCCACAGCTGTAGACCGTCAGAGCTCATCAGGATGAAAGTTGCCTCCACAGCACTTAAGGGAATTCACAAAAAAAGCCAAAAGCTATTGGTTCCTGTCGTCATTTCAAAGACGCCTACAACAAAACTATATCACCCAGAGTTTTACGTCATCTTGACAACCTGTTTGCACCCTTCAATAATAATAATAATGGCCTCCCTGGAGTGTCTCTGCTACTGATACTACGTTTGTCTTTGTTCCTTGTCAAGTTACAAGGTGGTCAAGTGGATGTAGATGGAGGAATACCTCTTTCAGGATCATAAAGTCAAGTGGCAAATGTGTTAACGTGATAATAACGCATTAACTTGCCCAGCCCTAATATATATATATACTGTATATATATATATATATATATATAAAGACTTAAACTTCTTCAGTCTGTGTGCATTGAATTTATTTAATACATGAGTTTCACAATTTGAGTTGAATTACTGAAATAAATGAACTTTTCCACGACATTCTAATTTATTGAGATGCACCTGTAGATCAGTGAGTGTGAGCGCTAACCGCGCCGGAGCGCGGAACTTATGATACATGCAACATGATTGCATATATATACTGTGAGAGGGCTGTGTGTTACCGTGTCCCAAACGACTCAAAATAATCAACCACAAAGTTAACAAAACGATGCTCTTCACTGTGCTGAGCGAGAGCGCTTCTCTAAGTTTCTGAATAATAGTGTCTTTGTACAATATACGGCAACAATAACAGTGAAAAGAATAAAAAAATAAGGAAGGGATTAAAGATTGGAAATCTGATCTTAAATCATGTATTTTTTACTGCATCAAAAGCAAGAACTGTAAATGTAGCACTAAAACCCCGCGGTAGCAGGAGATGCAGATCGCAGGCAAAATCCCTGAAGGGGTTTAGAGACAAGACATTCTCCCGTTACACTACATTTGTTGAATTAATAACAGATCATTTAGCTGCAGGTGCAGGCACACACTGTGCTCCCCGCGTTAAACTCAGCATCCAGGGTCGCTTTCTTCTCTGATCTGAAATCAGTCTCCTTTCAGCAGATCTGTCTTTGATCAGAATAATAAAGCCGCTTCTACACAATCTGTTACCGCTGAGCTTCACCACTGAAAACAGCACATCTGGGTGTCCTCGACAGCCATACGTACTTGGGGTCCCTAGGCGAGTAGGTCTTATTTACTGACAGCTTTGTACTTTGCCCTACATAGTGTCCAGACAACAACAAAATATGATATGATAGAGACTCAAAAATGAAAATTCTGTCAACATCTATTCTTCACGCCTTTCAAAAACCCATATGACTTTCTTTTTTTGCTGAACACTGAAGGAGATATTTTGCAGAATGTGCTGGCTGCATTTTTAACCAGTGAAAGCAAGGGATGTCCAGAATTTTCGATAAATAATAAATAAATACAAAATAAATAAATTGGTGTGTTACTTGTTGTGTGTTACTTGTTGTTTCTTTGTAATTATTTGTGAAATCAACTAGCAGTGAACATTTTTGTACACAAGTTTTTTCAGTCTACAACTTAAAAAAAAATACATAAAAAGACTTATGAAAAAATGAATTTAAGAATTTCATGAAACAATTACTTTCAAGAAAATTTACACCATAAATCAATCTTTCTACTTCACAAAGAATTCAGTGTGCTACTTGCCATGTCTTTGTAATTATTTGTGAAATTCACCAGCAATTTCTGAGTGAAAACTGCTTCAAAATAAAATTTTACACCAAAATATTTTCAGTATATTAGTATCCCAAAACAATGACTTAAAAAATTGAATTAAGTGCAAAAAATTACACATGAACACAAACATTTTGAGTACTATCCTTTTAAGAAAGTAAAAAGGGTGAATGTTAATTTCCTGTTGTATTTAAACCACTTCATAACTTATCGGCCAAGTTCAACTGGTATCGTTCCATACAATCCAACCAAAGCTTCTGCCACATGTTCAAATAAACACACTCACACAGTCATTCCGTCAATAAAATTTGTCCTGATCAAATGTCGATTTGCATGAGTCAGGACGGCCTTTCTGAAGGAGGCAGCCTCGTGTTTGATGCTTCAGATGCTGTGGGCCCAATCGCTGTGGTGTTTAATTTAACAAAGCGACAGAAAAGGCTCAGACAACTAAGGCGAGGGAGCAGTTGCCTTCCAATGTCGCCATCTGTTATTTATACAGTTACCGCCTCCTACGGGAGACAGCAAAAGGCCACATATTGCAGAAAAAAACATAAATCTATCACTTCAACTTATTATCTTTTTAATCAGCTGACCCAGGCTCCCCTCTCAGGGAATGACACAGCCAGGTTATGTTTAGGACAGACACATAACTCACCAACCACTCCCCCAGCCAAAGTAAAAAAAAAAAAAACTTAGACTGTTACAGTGAATAATATGAAGTGCACTGGAGAAATGGTATAGAAAAACAATCTGCAAGTCTGAATTGATAATGCAGGTTTTGATAACACATACTGTATGCCTATCTATGTCCGAAAAGATTATAGATTTATATTATTTTGTCTATTCTGTCCCATTCATCCTACTTGCAATTTTTACAGACCCTAAAGTTTTCATTTGAGCCTCTACAAAATACCCCCCCCCAAATAAACATTTTGATTTTTGATGTTTACCACAAGTTGGTAAATGCTTAAAAAAAATAAAATAAATAAGTTTTAAAAAACAGTCAACCATTATGTGATATTTTCTGAGAAATAACACTTCTTCAGTGGCAGAAATGTAAAAAAAACAATACAGTATTTATTAATGTTTTTAAAGAATTATCTTGCTCACCAAGGCTGCATTTATTTGATTCAAAATATAATCAAAAACAATAATACTGTGAGATATTATTACAATTTAAAATATGCGCTTTCTAATGTATTATATATTAAAAATAGAATTTATTCATGTGATGGCAAAGCCGAATTCAGTCTTCACTGTGTGCGTTTTTTTCTTTTATTTTTTTGTGTAAATCTTAATTATTTTTTTGTTTTCAGGATTCTTTGATGAATATATTCAATTGTATTATATTTCAAAATTAATTTATTCCTGTGCTGGCAAAGCTGACTTTTCAGCTTTCTTTAAAATAAGCATTTCTTTAAAATAATTCTTCCTGACCCCAAACTGTTAAATGGCAGTGTATATTGTCTTCAAAATATTTTTAAGAAATATAAAACATATGTTTGAAAAAAACATTTTCAAAGGAAATATTTAACATGAATGCAAAATTGTATGCAGACAGCTACCATTAAAGGAGATCTCAACTGTTTGGTTGAGTGAGTTTTGAAAAATAATGTACTCACTCACCAAACTTTTTTTCATGTGTTTTTGATTTGCTCTATTCTGCAAGCCCTACAAACTATTGCATCGGAAAATCTGCATAAATATTTCACAAAAACAATTCCACATGATACGAGCGATTTCACTGCTGATTACAGTCTGAAATTACGCTGGTGAAAATGGCGGAGCTTCGCAAACTACAGTCATAACTATTTTTGGCGATTTCAGCACACGACTAGTAAAACAAAAATCAGAATTGAGGAAAAAAGTTTATCTTAAATCAAAATATCCTGTAGCAAATGTTTCAGGTGGTTAAACTATAATATATAATGATTAGCTTGGGAATTAAGACATTTATTAATAAATAATAAACGCCAGACACATGGACTAATTGTAATTCAGTCCTGTTTGATCTCATCTGTCTTCCTCTCCAATGAGACGGTTCCTACATCAGCTTGTGTATGTCACATAAGATCCCATCTTCAAACAGGGCTCAGTGCCTGATCTCCAATCAGCCAAAGTGTGTTCCTCACAACCTGTTCCTGTACACTCACCTGCCAATTCTTCCACAGTGCCAGCAGTTTCTGGACATCTTCACGCTCAGTTTCGCTAGCTGGCTTCGCCCTGCGCACAAAAAATGAGAAGAACAGCCACATTACAATTACAAACCACTTGGATCCTGTCGCTTTCTCCGGCTCCAAATGTTCAAAAAGGGAACCTCGGGAACACAAAGCTTCCGTTTGCAAATGTATTAAACTAGAGGCCAACCTGTTTTCTACTGACTACCTTCACACGGCTTCGAATAATAGATGTGCTTAATATAAACGTTAATGTAAGAAACCCCCACTTGGACTTGGAATGTTCACAGTTTCCTGAGCAGAGGAGATGACCCAGACGCCACTGCTGCTAAACAAGCAGAAGCTTGTCTGTTTGATGCTACTGTTTCTCATGTATAATTGGTTTTGGTAAGTGGATAGTGTTTTATATATATATATATATAGTTTACAAAGAGATATTTTCGGAAACAGAATAAGCTGACCTGATGGTTAACTTTCATTTCCAAAGCTTCAAAAATGTGTGAAACACCATTTAAAAAAAAACTGTTTTGCTACAGCAAATGAAAGGGACAGTCCACAAAAAATAAAAAAAAATGATCAGTCTTGTTAGTATTTACCAAATCCACATTTTTTTCAAGAGGAACATACAGTATCTATCTATCTTTTTCAATTAGCATTGTCATTGACGAAAAAAAAAAAAAAGTCACCAGCTTAAAAATGAAGAATTTGCGTGTGTACTGTGTATATTTTGTGAATATAAATACACACATACTCATGTCTCATAACCGAACATGTCGTACCACTTTAAAAAATTCAGATTTTCCCGAGCTTTGTCATTTTTCCCATTCATATTTTTGTCCAAATAATGACATAATTTTATTTTTAGGCTAACTATGGCTTCTGTTCAAGCTGGTAGTTCATTTTAAATGGCCAGAAACCATAATTTTCATCAAATGTAACCACTCAAAATTAAATAGTGTAGTTTTAGACCCAGCAGCAAACTCAAACTGGCTGCACATTATATATAATTATTATATTTAACATTCTTAGATCAATATAAATCACAGGCAGTCAAACAAGAGCACAAATCTGTCCCCACACACATTTGCAACCTCTATGACTATTATTATGAAAACAAATATAAAGGAAACTAAATATAATGCATAATGCTCTCCTCTCCAAATATATGTGGGCTTTTTTTCAGTCTAACGTGCAGTACAATATGTACTCATCTCCGCTAATGCTCCGCTCCTCCTGTCCCAGAAAATGAGGAGGCGTGTCATGAGCTACACTAGATGCTTTTCAGGAAGTCTTATATAATACATAGAGAGACTGAGACTAATAATATGGCAAGAAAGAGATGCGAGATACACGCGCTGCATCTCTGCGGTCTTCAGAGAGCGCGGTTCCTCATATTAATGAAACCAAAAGACAACCTACAATCCATTCATTGACCATCTAATGCATATTAAACATAAAACCAGCAGGGACTTTCTCAAACTGGCAAGCTCTAATCTGATTGGATGGCATGATACCACTTACATGATCCAGAGTGCATCAGATTTTGGTGGTCTGACTGGAAATAAAGTTATTTTTATAAGGTACCGGAACCTGTAATCAAAATATCTCTTTCTCTCTAAATAGGTGAGATTCGATTTTAGTCAGTTAGAGACTTCAATTTCATGCCTTCTTCCAATAACTGTCCAGAGTCTCTCAGCAAATTGATGTGATACCATAAGCATGCATATATACAAAGCAGCTTGAGTCTGTTTTTATTTGCAACTCTTGCTGGATGCGTTTGTTTGATCGACTCCACACTTCACTTCATATGTTCTTGCAGCACTTATGCTAAAAAAAGTTATTCCATATTCAAGCTCCTGCTAATGCTTAGACTCATCATAGCCATCATGAGCGCCGCAGTCCGCTCTCCCTTGACAGCGCTCTAGATCGGCTTTTTTTTCTTTTTCCCACCTCATGCGAAGTAGCCACATATCTCCCAGGCAGGAGGAAGATATGCTAGCTATAATTAGTATAGCTGACATACATATTCAAACGTGAATACATTAGACAAGGATGTGGCGGACAAAAAAAGGAACACCCAAATAGCCATATGATCATCTAAAAGGCAATCTGAGAAATTGTATTATCTAAAACAGTGCTGTCAAATCGATTAATCATGATTAATCGCATCCAAAATAAAAGTTTGTGTTTACATAATATATGTGTGTGAACTGTGTATATGTATATATAAATAAGCACACAGACATGTATATATTTATATATGATTTATATAATGTATAAATATATATGTGACCCTGGACTACAAAACCATTATTTTAAGTCGCTGGGGTATATTTGTTGCAATAGCCAATAATAAATTTTTATGGGTCAAAATTATTGATGTTTCTTTTATGCCAAAAATCATTAGGACATTAAGTAAAGATAATGTTCCATGAAGTTATTTTGTAAATGTCCTACTGTAAATATATCAAAACTTAATTTTTGATTAGTAATATGCATTGCTAAGAACTTAATTTGGACAACTTTAGGCGATTTTCTCAATATTTAGATTTTTTTTTGCCCCCTCAGATTCCAGATTTTCAAATAGTTCTATATTCAAATATAGATGTATAAATCTCAATTTCCAAAAATGTACCATTATGACTGGTTTTGTGGTCCAGGGTCACATATTACATATATTTCTTAAATATATACATATGTGTGTGTGTATATACAGTATATAGATAGATAGATCTATAGATAGATATCTATATACAGATATATATATGTCATGAATCGGTCCATGAACTTACGTCGGCTCACCATCAGAGGTCACCCTTCCCATTTTCATTGACTCTCGCACTCACACTGTTGCATATCTTCCCGGACTACATATCCCATCATTCACAGCACTGATTGCACCCAGCTGTTTCATATCACTCCCTCACTATTTAACACTCACTCTGATCCCTTCCTTCGCCGAGTATTGTTTAGCGCCTATTCGTTGATAGCTACACTACAGAGCCATCGTTAGCTGCCTTGCCTTGCCTTGCCTTGCCTTGCCTTGCCTTGCCTTGCCTTGCCTTGCCTGTTTTCTCGGTTTCTGGTCTTCGACCTGTTTTCCTGGATTTACCCCTTTAGCCTTGCCCCTTTTTGATTCTGTCTGCCGATCGTCAACCTGCGCTAGCCCTAGGACTATTCTTGTGTTTTGCCCGCCATATACCTGTTTGTCATAGTTTGACCCTGCCTGTTATGACCACGTCTCTGTCTTCTGCTTAAATAAAGCTTTGCGAATGGATCCGCACGTCTCATGTATTGTCAGCCCCGTTACAATATATATATATATATACAGTACACACAGGTTTTATTATAAATTATGGGAAACATTCATAAAACTGTACGACCCTCATGATCTCTGGAGGAAAACATAAATATGCAATGCATATTTTGAACTGGGAAAGAGGAAAAAAAAGATCAGATGAAATGACCCCTTTAACACCAACTCTGAATAAAAGACACATATCTGATCCATGTTAGCGGAGTCAAACAAATATACAGTGGAGTTGTGAAGCACAAAGTGTCGGCCTGTATCCCACAATCCACCTTCCCTGCCCACACATCCTTTGCCTGCTACCGGCAGCATCAACCCTTTTCCATCAAGCTCCCGAGGCTGGTTTTGACACACTCCACTTTGGAGCCCTTTTATCTTTAAACTGCTGCTCTGCGTAGATCAAAACACCAACAGTGATTGTGAGAGTGCAAATGCAGCAGTGTATTTCTGTTGCACTATGGTCAACTTGTTTGATCACCTCTGTTGTCTTGTTTTCTTTCTCTTTTTTTCACTCTTCGTTGTTCAGTGTAACCTAGACCCATCCTTTAGTCCCTGAAGTGTAACTCAGCTTTGATTCGAACCCGTATGGTGAGGATGCATCACCCTCGATGAAGAAAAAAAAAAAACATACATGCAGATGGCCTTTAAATCAATGGCCTGCGGACACACTGGAAACGAATGCTGAGAGAAGCTCTGCACCTATACAGGATAGCTGAAACCAGCAAGGTTGTAAAAAAAAAAAAAAAAAAAACAGAAACCCCGTTAAAAAAAACCCCCCCCCCCCCCCCCCAATGGCTGCTGAAAATTCATTTTTGCCATCACAGGAATAAACTACAAATATAGATTTTTTTTTCATAGATTTTTTTCACAATATCTATGTTTCTACTATATTTTTGACCCATGTCTAATAAATGTATAATGATATGTATAATGTATAATAAACCTTGGACACAACATTTGCACATTTTTCTTCCTTAATCTGACGTATTAATCTATCAAGTGAAACTGGACATTCAATGAGAAAAAGAGGTGAGTGGGACTATTTAATTCATCACTTTTGACTGGATCATAAAACGTGGGTGTTACATTCCAGAATCGAGACAGATGATTGAAGGCTGAAAAAAATATATATAATAAGAAAACTGAGGGCTTGGTCATATCAGCCAAAAAGGAAAGTCATTTCAGAGACGGAGCAAGTTGTTACATTTTGATAATATATTGAATCATGCAATCAGTACACTGATAAATCTTCCAATAAGACCAGGAATGTGTATTAAGTAATTTTTTAAAAGTATAGCTACATCAGAAACATACACTAGAGTATGACTTCTCAGGAAGAAGTTAACCCTTAAATGCATGAATGTTTCGCCAATCATTATTACATATTCGGGGTCTTTAGCAACCCGGACGTATATATATTCAGCACGGATGGATCTCGAACTGCTGCAATAGCAAAAAACTCTCTTGATATTTTAAGAACAATTACAGAAGAATAAAATAAAGCATATTTCGTTACTTTTTGAAACTTAAAAGGGTTTAATTTGAGCAGATGATTTTACCATCGCTGTCATCATCAGAGCGCACTTCCACAGTATATTCAACATCTGCCTCACATTCACGATCTCAACCTATTCTCAAAACTATCATTTTCAATGACTTCATATTCAATATTTTGATCACTGACAGCTTATTCATCACATCCAGCATCAAATGACAGTGACATTTATATGTCATTG